CATTTCCTCCACCTCCTCATCGGAATGTGCCGACGTTGGTGCGTAAACCTGTATGACCTTCAGCGAATACCGTTTGGTGATTCTGAGTATCAGGTACGCGACCCTCGTCGACACACTCTCAATCTGTACAACGTTGTTGACGAGAGACTTGTGGACGATAAATCCGACACCTCCTTGGGACAGATGGTCGCCCTCCCGGTGATAGAACAAGTTGCCGGATTCGAGAATCACCGTGTCCTCCCCCTCTCTTCGGACCTCGGATAATCCTATAATACTCCAGCGTAACTTGTCTATCTCTTCTTCCAGCTCCAGGATCTTCTCGTCAGTCCTCAGTGTGCGTGCGTTAAATGTTGCCAGGTCGAGTCGTCGTAGGTGGCAACCGAACTTCCACCGGAGATTCTTAGCACCCCCTGCCCCGCCGTTACCATGGTCGCCACCGTAGCCAGGAATAGCGGGGCCGCCGAGGACTGGGGGCCGTCTATTTGTGTAATTGTTCATGGGGGGTATATTGCCATAGTTGCCACGCTTGGCGAGCGGGTTGGCAACCGCAGTTTTTTTTTGTCGTACAGTTGCTGTTATCAGGGAGATGCTGCTGCCCATCTCCTGTCTGTCTCCCTCTGTCGCCTCTTACGACACCCACGGGAAGATATGGGGTAGTGGATATTCTTAACCGCCACTACACGGCAAAAATGTTTTTATATTGAAAAATAATTATTATTTATTATTAATAATAATGCTCCGTCACAACATGTTAAGTAGATTTTGAGTAACAGATTACAAAACCGAATCCATTAGTATGAGCAAACAAAGTCAGAGAAACCCAAATTTATAATTAAAAAATTGAAAAAATATAAACAAACAAAAATTAGCAAGAAATCTGATACAAAATATGGAACACGTAAACTGTTTTAATAAAACGCGTACGCGAGTTGTAAGCGAGCACACCTCTAGTTAATTTAGCAACGTATCGACGCAGACCGGAACATAGCTAATGTGTTTCTATATATAGATGTACCACCGGGGATGCCACGACGTCGAAACAAACAGTAATGCGTATTATTGTAAATTATCACCGACGCTAACAATATCTCTTGTCTATTGAAATCACTCGGCCCCTTCATCATGTGAGAGTTACGAAAAATATAGAGTAGATAAAAAACTATCATAAATTATTTTAATGGACTTGCTCCATTTACAACGTCTTGATGGTAAGAAAAGGGAGAATAAGGAATGGGAAGTACATTATTACAATCTATTTCCAATCACCAACGTGACAAATGTGATGAAAACAGACATTGTGTATGATTTATCGAATGACGGCTATTTTTTTAACGGACCCTATGCTAGAATATTCTCCTACATATTAGAGGCGTTTTGCATACTCAAATTGCACGTGAATAAATATCCTAAACCAACAATTATATGCAGTTCATACAAAAACTTGTTCCGTGTAGGAATCGAACCCGTGACCCCACAACACCGCAGCGCCGCAGACAATCACTTAGGCCACAGAGTACATTAACTTATGCACTGCGCTACTTAGCCGACAAATATGCTAACTTCTACATTGTTTCTAGTATGCCGTGATAGTGATAACGTGCCATCTATCGGTGACCATGAGCTTCTGACATTTTGAAAAGTCGCCCTTTCCAACAATGAAACCCTTAAAACCAAAAGTGATGTTTAGTTTTCGTGGTGGCAGTAATGATGTTGCACTTATGGGAGCAGGGAGTTACTCATAATTTTTTCACGCGAATTTTAGCTACATAATTAACATAATAGTCGTCGCCGTATGTTTGTTTATTAAACCCTTTCGGATCAACAAACATACGGCGACGATTTCTACCGGTTTAACATCCCACCGATTCCCCTTTATGTTATTTCTCATATTATACAAATAATACTCCCAAATGTAACCCAATTATTTTTTAAGCATTTTACGATATAGCATCAGCCTGTTAATGGGTTCTAATATGCATTTTATATCTTAAACAGATGCTCCACGGATAGAGGCAACATTTATTTTTTTATTGACATCGATCCCTACCAAATTAAAGTGATCTCTTGAATAGAGGGTTCTTTTGTGTTGTATAATAAGGAACCGTTTACAGCAGGCTTACATTGACTGGTCCAATGTTGTATTTTATATTTTTATTTAATGGTTTAATTGTGAAAGGGGTCTACCTTTTCACTAGTGGTTTATGTGGTCAGCATGTTTTTGTCTTAAGATTTCAACAAAATGGAATGCATTTTTCATAGGTTTAAGAGCATAAATCCTTTAACATCGTTATAACTATCTTTCACAAGTCTACTGATGAACAAAACACAGTCCTAAGCCACATACATTCATCGACTTCCTGGTTATTTCTCCATCTAGTGGGAGTCTACAATTAATTCAGTACGAGAATCTTTTTTTAATGATCACATTTTTATTAAATCCATTTGTTGGTAAGATTTAAATTAAATAAGGCTTTAAATCTCTTTTAGACTACGCGGCAGTAACTTGTATGAATGGCTCGTATACGTTCAGAAATAATCTGACATAATATGCTGGCCGTGGGATTGTTGATTTTATTTCCTTTTTTTAACGGATTAGTAAGCGGAAGTGGCAATGGGCCGGCCATATAGCTCGAAGAACCGGCAACCGATGGGGAGAAAAGGTTATCGAGATGCAATTGCAACCTCGTACCGGTAAACGAAGTGTAGAGCGGCCCCCTACTAGATTCAGTGACGACCTGGTAAGATATGCAGGAAGACCATGGATGCAGGTGTTTCAAGACCGTGCTGTGTAGTTATCCCTGGGGGAGGTCTTTGTTTAGCAGTTGACTTGTGAAGGGCTGTAATCCTGTAATGATGATGATGATGATAATTTCTCTTTTTTAAATGTTTTAAAAATAATCCCCCTCACCTGAATCATGCAGGCGTTTAATATACATACATTGAATATTAATAAATATAAATATCCGAAACAAATATTTATAGGTATTAATTTTTTCGTGCGGAAGTCAAACCCGCGCAGGGCAGCTGCCTAACCACGGTGTCCGAATCGTCTCTTTGTGCAGATTTATGTATTTTTAAGTAAAATTTTAAAAGCAAAATGTTTTATCTTTACGAAAAAAATCTTGCCGTGTAGCCAGAGTAAAAAAATCCTCTATCCCATATCCTCCCGTGGGTGTCGTAGGAGGCAACATAGCGAAACTGAAACAGGAGATGAGTAGCAGCGTCTTCATGATGACAAAACTGCGGCAGCCAACACGCCTGGTGAGCGTGACAACTGTGACAAATATCCCTTACGAGGCAATCTACTCGTATCAGGAGGCTTATATTCTGCAGTGTACTTTTATAGGCTGTAATAGATGGATGGAAAGGTACAGAGTCAGTAAATATTACCTACACTGGCGAAAAAACAGCTACATTTGGTTTTCCTATTGAGCTGGAATCGGTCTTTTATTTATAAAATTTTATTATAACCTAACGATCTGACCTGACTTCGCCCGGGTGATTTCTTGATCTCTACAACAGAGTCAACTACCGGGGTTATGAATCTACACCATCCAATAGAGTTTTAGCGCTACTGACGGACAGCAATTGATCTTTATATATAGAGATGTGTTGTAATGAAAACCTTAAACCCATACTAGTAAAATAACTTAAAAATAACAAATAAATTGTTTAGGATACCGAAAAAAGAGCAATAAAATAACTTCGAAGGCCAGTTGCTAAGCGCAGCAAAAGCTAAGCGCTCGTTGTAAATTTTACAGTCTACGCGAATAACCCCGGTCTGATTCCCGCCGGCACCAATGAAAACGTTAATTACGATTTTATTTGCTGAAATATCACAAGTTGAGGAAACCTGAACATTTAAGTTGTAATTTTTCGAGAAATTATAATAAAGTTCGCTCTGAGAAATGAGAAGAGGGCCTTGCTCAGCAGTAAAACGTATATAGGCTGTAAATATAGGCTGAATACAATGTTGATATCCTAGCCATTTCGACCACGGCGAAAAACTTCAAATTTTGGACTACACTTATACGCATCAACATTACGGTTTTTATTTGTTCTTACCTCCTCATTTTCAAAGCCCAATTAGTAGAGCGCGTAAACCCGCGTGAGGTTACCCGCCAGAGTTACGCTCTTGACTAAGGCAAGGGTCTTTTATGTTAGGTAAAAAGCTGCGCAAAAATTACGATCACCGGTTCACCGGATTATACGAGTACGTATACAACGTGCACATTCGTCTTAATGCATTTAAATAACTGTGTTTTCATTATCACTTATTATCTTTTTTATATAGGATAAGGTGACAAACGAGCACACAGTCCACCTGATGGTAAGTGGTTGCTGTGGCCCATAGACATCTACATCTATCCTCGATTACGAATCAAAACGCAGATGCGTTGTCACCCGTGAGGACTAAGATGGAATGCCTCGTTACCAGTAAAAAAGGTCTCCGGTTCTCTACACATACACACGAAACACAACAGCATTAAGCTAATATTTTACGCTGGTATTCTGTGAGAGCGTGGTCCTTCCCCGGTCGAGCCGACCCATTGGTGCTACAACTATACTACTAATATAACTGCTGCATGGCTGGACCACGTATAAATGATCCCCATCTAAAATTGTTGAAAAGTTAAAAATTAACGAAAATATTATTTTATTTATCCATAAGCTGTAAGGAGTATGCGAGCTTGAGCTTTTACTGAAAGTGCTACGCAGGAAAAACTAATTCGGTGGGAATCACTGACGTACTATATCTGTAGCGTTCTGTATTTGAAATTGGCTGCATGTGTCCGGGGACTGCGGTTGCCAATTACTATGACGTGGACTGTCAGTTCGTATGCCACTTCATTTTTATAAAAAAAAAGAACCAACTATTTGTATTTTTGACCGAATGTTGGCTCTATCTGGGAATCGAATCCAGTAATCACGACGTAATATTAACACTCATCACTAACTGACCTAGTTACAAGGTTAGCTAGAATGCAAAAATCACTCACCATCATCAACTTCATTCCACACGTCTATTTCCTCTTCTCGAGGTAGGCCTTGTAGACATCTTGTACAGAAGCTATGAAGACATCCCAAGAGCCGCGGTTCCACTAGCTCCTTTTTGCAGAGCGAACATTCCCAATCCTTCACCCTGCTCTTCCTGCCTTCGTTATATGCAGATGCTCGTAATCCAACACAAAGACTCTGGCTGGCTGGTCTCGCAGACTTTTGCAAATGTAAGGGACTGTTTCCGGCGCTTATTGAAGACGGCTCCAATGATTTTCTTCGGTCTTGTTTTTTACGCGAGAAGCTTCCGAAAATGTACAGAATTCTATCTACTTCCATTTTTTTCTTTATGATTTATACAAAAAATATCAACCATGTGCCTTTGTCTTGTTACATGGGTTAAAAATTACGTCATATACGGCCTAACTTTTAGAATATAATCTTATTAAAAAAGCCAATATAAAATAATTAATTAATTTAAAAATAAAACAAACTAAAATAAACTTTAAAAAATAATTATCTGTTTAAGTTATCAAAATACTTATTATTATTTAAAATGTCTTCTCGACAATATACCCTAGGCATCACGATCATTCACTTTTGCGTCGCGTGTTGATTTAAAAATAAACGTCCTACCGAGATGAAGTGTTGAGGTCGACTAAAACTGAATTCTGAAACTTTCATTTCCATCACGTATTGTATGTGTAGGGTGCGTGCATCCCTAGAACTAGAAAATATATTTCTCTTCTTTTACAAAATTTCAGTGACAACCGCATTTATAGTCCACCTGGTGGTAAGTGGCTACTTCAGCCAATGGATACCTGCTATCAACTTTAAACGAAAAAGGCAATAGATGGGTTGTCAGCTCTAAAGTCTAAAACGAAGTTTTATTCCGCACACTCACCTTCACTAATAAGATAAGTAAGCCAATTGCATACTTCCTAGTAATACTTGCATACTGAAGTCACAATTATTTTGTGAACCTTTTGGTTTTACAGCTTTATTTAATAATTAATAGAATCAGGCATTTCTTTGCGAAAAACCATTACATTAAAGGTGTTAAAATTATTTAGCTAAGATTCTAATCCCAGCTTAGCGGTCAGCCATCACCGTGTTACATGTGTCGCATTCTCGACGGTGGTGTATATTTCCTAGTGTAGTGGTGACGGGGACAGTACCTACACGTAATTGAGGTGAGGGATTGAGGGGAGGAGTGAGGGAAAGTATAACCTGTTTGGCAGATAATAATTTAATCTATCAGTAAATCATATAATATATTTTTGTTTTCCTCTCAATCGGATCCATGTGGCAGTATGTCTTAGTCATAATGGTTAAAAAAGTAATGCTTCATATGTTTTAAAATTATCGTTGATCTATATTTACTACAAACCTTGTCATTTCTTATTTCCTTGACTTGTAGGGTTGCCCGTGGTTAACGTAATTTTTTTCTTATGACATCTTGATTTACTAGGGACAAATTTGATGTTTGACGACTCGATATCACAGTAGCTAAGCGTATGGTTGCGGCGATGTGGGGCCGCGGGTTCGAATCTATCACGGTATTATGTGTTTGTATGGCCTACCAATAATTGTTTCGGGTCTGGATGTTTGTCTAGGTGCATATTTATATATAAAATTCTAGTGGCGGATAACATCTTTCAAAAAAAGGGTATTAAAATATTATAACATGATCGCTGTGTAGTGGCCGAGTAAGAATATAAATATAATATAATCTCGCTGGTGTCATAAGGAGTGACAGAGATAAGACAGAGCGACAGCGACAGAGAAAATACAATAGTAGATGAGTAACAGCATCTTTCTGACAACAGCTCAAAATAATAAAAAACTGCGGTTGACGAAATGGCTGCCAAGTATGGCAACTATAGCATAATCATTTTATGAAGCAATCTATGGAGGAGGCCTATGTTCAGCAGTTGGATTTTTGATAGGCTGTGATGAATTAATGAAGAAAATAATATAACAGCGTTAGTCGTACGTGAGGAAAACGAGTTTTGGCCGGCATCAACGAACTGTAAGTTGCAATTTTAAACGCTGGTTTGCCAAGATCTGAGTTATTAAAAATAATATTTCCATGACGTTAAGCCAAAATTGTCTCAAAAATTATACAATATGCATCTGTGAGACGTTTGTAAGCCGGTATTACTGTGCTTGACTTAAAATTGCAAAAGGTATAAAAGTGGCATGATATGTCATTTTGTTTTAATTGAAGTGACAAACAAACCGAAAGTCTACCTGATGCTAAGTGGCTAACGCAGCTCATAAACAACCCGCAACCAACTGCAAATAAGTTGAATGCAAAGCTGGATTAACTCACAGCCCTGTAGTTGTACTGGGTCTCTATACCCTTTAGACCGGAACACAGCAGTGTAAGCTGTTGCTAGATGGTGATGGTAAGGTGATGATACCTACCCATGCGGACTCCTACCTGCTAGTAAATAAGTGAAGTACTACAAAATCAGTAGTACTACGAAAGCAGTCGTTAAGGAGTATGTTAGGGCTGAATCTGAGTGACAGGGTGAGAAATTGTGTGATAAGAGAAGAGTGTGGTTTGCAAGATGATGTTGTGACCAGGATTAAGCAAGGAATGCTTCGGTGCTTTGGTCATGTAGAAATAATGAATTAGGAAAGAGTAACAAAGCAAATTTATGTTGCAGAAGTGAACGGAAGAGTCGGAAAGGCGAAAGTTTATCGACCAAAATGGCGATATATTGAAAATGGGCGAAATTAAGAATACCCTTAACCGACGAGCATGTATGTGAAGGTATATGAATGTGGAGGAGGCGAGAGAGGTGTGTCACAATCGTGTCAAATGGAAGTCTGTAGTCTCTGCCTACCCCTCTGGGTGACAGGCGTGAGTGTTTATGAGTATGAGATTACACAAAATCAATAAAATTGTTAATAAAAAAATTTAACGAGTGTAACAATAAATACACTTAATATCGTGTGATTGTCATGGGTGTCACATTAACCCCAGAATAAATGTGTTTATGTGCCAGCCCTAAAATGAACCTTAGAAGGGAAGTAGCGTGAAAAGAAGGTAGGTATTGTCTGTTGCGATCATCCCCGTTAAGCGATATCACCAACTTAAGAGGAGTTATAGCCAACGCCGTCTTAGGCCATACCGGGGCCCTTGGGCACACAAAAATATGAGGCCCTGTTGGAAAAAGTGAATGACGAAAATATTGGCTGCGTTTGGCAGAAAAAAGCGCTAGCAATCGCTTGTAAGCAAAATGGCGATCGTAAGCGGTAAGCGTTGTCAAATCGTAAGTAGCTATTTTTCTCTAGGACACGAAGTTAGTTTTAACCGGGAAACCTAAACTAATTTAAATATACGTTTGTAAAGTATTCTTATTAAAACTTACCAATTAAGTCACTTTAGTCACTTAGCGGTCAGCCGCCGTAGAGTCTATATTACCTGAGGATGCCTCGTGTAGAGGCGAAACACGTGTCGTATTATCGTCGATGGTGTGTCTTGCCTGGAATAGTGGTGTTGAGAGTAGTGGTGCTTGGTCTAGTGGTGACGGAGTTAGTGTATGCAATTGAGAGAAGGCGGGAGGTGCGCTTCAATCCAGGTAAGACACATCATTTTATATGTTTAGCGGAAAGTTGCAAAGAAATTTATATTTTTATTTTTTACTTTATTTATATATATTAAGATTTGCCGTTAAATCTTTTAAAGTGTTATTTTCATTAAACAGTACGAAATTATATTTTTATCTCATAGAATCAAAATACATAGATTGCCGAAAATTAAAAAAATCTGGGTTATAAGTAAGGTGACTATAAAGCCCGATAAAAACGTTTAGATGGCGGCGAAATGCGTAACTACATATTTTCTACCTAGGAAATCTGTCAATGCCACTTTTTCCGGCAATGTGTGGCTTGTCACTGCTCATGGTGCCGGAAAGTCACTAAAAACGTTCTCATTTACTCTATAATTTTTTATCGGGTTTTATTTTCCTAAAATAGGTATAAGATTGTATAGCGTAAGCGAATAAGGCCGATGCCTTTAGTCACGGGGCCCCCGTGATGATACGATACGATACGATGATATGATGATATGATAGACGGGGCCCGTGCACAGGGCCCCGTGTGCCCTTATGGTAAAAACGGTACTGATTATAGCCTCCCTAACTATGGAGAGACCACAATGACAATCACGACACTGTTAAACCCTATATTATAATGATGGGAGCGATTTTAATGGGTAATTACTAAAATATTAATAGTTTTACAATTACTCAATTACTAAGTTATTAATAGATAATTCCGTACAGCAGAACACAAAGTGGAATTCCATTAAAAAAGTAGAGCGTAAAAATATACTACCGTCAATAAAATACAACCTAAAAAACAATTATCGTGAAGTCGCGCTAGTTATAATTTCCTCCCCATGTTATGAAAGCACGTGCAATCCAAATTAAGATCGAGTTACCGGAAGGGCAGCTGTAAACAGTTACGTGAATTTCGTACATGTTTTTGCTTCTCAAACTTAACGGAAACTTCGTCTCTCCTTTGCAACGATAAAAACTCATACAACGGAACAAATCGGTATTAATAGGTAGGTTTCAACTGAATGCGAACCAAAGGCCCGCAGTTGAAAAGACAGCCATGATGGTCATTTAAACTACACTGCAGACATATTAAAAAAACACACTAAAATTTGCAATAGTAAATTAAAATCAAGTTAAAAATAATAAACAAAAATGAAAGTAAATCAATTCTGTACATATTTATTCATCCACGTTAAATATTTACCAAATTAAAGACATCACAATTTTTTTTAAACAATAACTAAGCGGAGTTATTGTTTCGCCACAAAAGAAATAGGGCGCGAAATGACCCACATGATAAAGGAAAACTATCTGTCAGTGCTATTTTTCGCGCGCGCCCGGGTGCGTAGCCACTGAAGCCATGTTGAAAACTGAGCTATCGCGTAGTATTTACTATTTACCTTGAAATTGGAATTACACTGAGTAATGCATTTATTTATTACAATACAATTTAATACGTTTACTTTGTAATACTACATTCAACGGTGTTGTTTTCTATGTATTCACTAAAAATAAACCAAATCAGATCTCGTTATAATTTCTCTTTCGATAAAAAATATTACTAACGCGGACACGTGAGATATAACTTTTTATTATTAATAACGTTTTTTTACATGGGGAAATGCCTATGCATCTCCGCCTCGCGGGGGCAAGGACGGGTTATGTCGGACTCATATCGTCTAAAACCTCATAGTGAACCATCTTCGCCGTATATAAGCAAAGCCACGGGAACGTTTTTGCAGCGCCCTCCTTTTCCCATTTCCG